TTCTCAATAGCTGTGCAGCACAAGGTCATGCAGCAGTTTTGCCTGGCAGCTATGGTACAATTAACACATAAAAATATATTTATGAATATATAAATGTAGATTTGTGTGTGCGTCTGTCCATTTCTCTTTTATACCCAGTTGAAAGATTATAAATCATTTCCTACAAAGCTGTGATTATCAGAGTCATGGTTGCAGACTATAGTTTTTACCTCCAAGAGTCAACACTCTTACCCTTCCTGTCTTTCTGTGCACATATATATGCACACATCTCTGCATCTATCAATGCAGCTTAAGAGGAAAACAAAACAAAACAAAAAACACTAGGCAGCAACAAACAAGCAATGAAACACCATGGGATAAATTCAGAAGCATGGGAATGGATTCTCCCAGTGCAGGAACTCTCCTGCACTTCAAAGGGAACTAAATATGGGAGGCAGTGGTAGCCTTAGTCCCTGGAGGAATAAAATTTGAACATACAGAGTTCATATAACACTAGAATCAATTTTAAGTCTGTGCAGTCTTGCTGGAGCAGGTCATAAGTTTCACCTGCCAGCTTCCCATTCCCAGTTACTAACTGGGTGTTTGGACAAGCTCCATATGTGACACCATAGAGATGTGACTCATATGAGCTAGATCCCAGACTCACATTTGCTTCCATGGGTTAGAAGTGCATGGAAGGTGAGGAGAAGCAAAAGGCAGGGGAAAGGAATGAAAAAGTTTAAATGAGCAAAATTCTGAATTTTCCTAGGTTCAGAGCATCAAATGTCCCACAGATCAGCTGCCAAGGGCTGCCAGTATCCTGAGCAGGTGCACTATGGAAATGAATCCTTCTCCCTCTCCTCCTCTTGGCCTTACTATCATTTCAGCAAGGTGTAAAATTTGATGTCTTTGTTCCCTCAAGCACCTTCTGCTGTATTTCATCCTGTTGCAGTTACAGTCTGTAGAACAGAACTACTTTAAAATACTATTCCAAAGATGAGGAACAACACAGTATCTAAACAGCTTAAGAAAAATTTGTGAAAATGCCTATAATTCTATTTGTCCATATCTAAAGAGATCAAAGCAGAATCTGAGAAGATCTGCAGTTTCTAAAAGAAGAGACTCATGAAAACTATAGATAAAAAAAGCAAATGCCAAAAAGCAACTCCATTTGGGGTGACTCCAATCCCTTTAATACAAGCAGCAACAGAACTTTCTGCCTGCAATACTTATTTGGCTGCAGTAAGTGACCATGCAGGGCTGCATTTGACAGTCAGCTGTGGAACTTACATGGACTTCAGTGTCTGCTGTGATGTCTCACGAGAGGAGAACAGTGAATGACTCAGGCCACCTACTTGCTGTAATGGCTCACCTGTGCAATCTGGGGTGAAAAAAAGATGCTTTCCAAGAGCAGTAGAGAGCATCTAGGAAAGGTCTTTGCTCCTGCCAGCTTCTCAAGTAGTGGTAGAAGGCTGTGAGGTTGAGGAGACATTCCTGTGAAGTACATCTGCATATATATGTGAATGTAATAAAAAAATCAGAAGTTCTTAATTTTAATAGAACCAGATTCATCCTTTGTAAAGGTATGGTGCTGACCACCCTTAAGATTTTCACTTCTGCGGAAACACATATTTTTAATTTTCAAGGACAAAAGCAGGCAGTCAGCCATTTCAATACTCACATAAATTGGTGGAGACTTGGATTTCAGACATCCCTCAGTGCTTCTCCACTGTTACAAAGGTGGGAAGTGATGCTTTCAGAGAAGAGGACTTTCCACTTCTCCTCCTGAATCTGCGTCATTCTATAGGCAGAACAAGGGTCAGCAAGAAAGAGTCCCAAGTGTTTAGAGTACAGAGCTGGGGGAGACGAATCCTAGCACATCAGATGTTGCTGACCCTTTTCTTTTATTTTCCTTTTTTTTTTTTTTTTCTCCCTGCAGCCTAATGGCATCTGGATTTTTCAGAAATATTTATGGCCCAAGTCAGAGGAAAAATTCCTTCCTAAGTAGGCCTCAGTTTCCTGAAGGATTTAATCCCATTTCATATAAATTTAGTTTGAAACCTTTCACTATCTCTAAGCATGTAGGACTAGACACTGAAAAACAGCTCACTCACAGGAAGGAGCCCACAGGAACTGCTTTTCTTGCATCAGATCCTAAGAACTCTGAAGCAAGACCCACGGAACAGCAGAGCATTGCTGTGTTTGTACAAATCCTGATTGCAGTCTACACATTTCTACCTGATAAGGGCCACAAGGAGATGGTCAGGCTTGAGATCTCTTCTCTAGTAAAAGTGCTCCAAGCTCAGAGGGCAAACTGAAGTGTAAATAGAATTATTGTGTACATCACAAGAAAACAATTATTAAGTTTTATGATTTACATGAAGTCTTATATATACGTAGACAATGTTTTTGAATCTATGCAGCTTTAAGTACTAAAGCAGACCTACTGAAACCGGGGGCAGAATACTTACAATACGCAAGGTTGTGGGCTCTTTTACTCTGTCACATCACAGATTATTTCTGATAGATACAACAAACAGAATCACAGAATTACAGAATGGCCACGATTGGAAGGGACCTCAACACAGTGGCTTTATAAGACTTTTCCTGCAAGGAAAGGACACTAGTAAAGGTCCAGTGTTTCTCTTGTGGTCTCCATGAGTACCATCAATCCAGCTGAAATGTAACACAACCACAGCTGGGTTGGGTGGCTTTCAAGAGCCATCCAAGTTGGGTTCAGAAACTTCATCAAGAGAACAGAAGGCATAGGAATCAGAAGTCTACATCATATCTTGAGTAAACTGCAGGAATCACACAGCTGAACCAGCATTTGTGTGAGGGAAAGTAGTACCTGAGGGGTGAGGCATAGCTGAAGGAGATTGCCATTTAAGTCTCAGGGAGAGAATGCTTTAGCAAAGCACGCTGCCCCATAGAATTATCTGGACAACTAGACCTTTCCCTTTCTGTTCAAAATCAACACAATTTAAGATGCACAGACACTGCAGTCAGACTTGTAAAACAGAGCTTAAGTATCTAGTGTGGGGCCAGGCTAAGAAATCAGGAAGCTGATACATTTCCAAACATCATTTAGACTCTTTCTGACTATGAGATAAATCCTGTAGTTTTTACCTGAAGACTCATTTTCATTTTTTTCAAATATGCCTTTTGATTTTTGCCATGAGTAACCATGTGTGCCTTGTTCAACATTTCTTTGCCTTTTATAAGTATCAGAAGTATCAAAATATGGTTTTATAGTGGACTTTTGGGTATTTGGTTTTGAAGATTATCCCCACCTTTTCTTAAGCATTAATATGAAGATTGCCCGACAAAGCCAAGAGAAGAATTTGTAGTTTGATTCATTGTTTAGTAACCATTTCTAGCTATTTACAGACATATTTGCCTTATGACTTCTGATTTCTGTTATATTCCTTCTGTGAATTTATTTGATTCAATAGTTCAATTAGATTATGTGAAATCCACTTCACCTTTGTGTCTGGCAACAGGCTGTGATCACAAGGCAATGATTTCATTAGAGGAATCAAGAAAAAGTGGAAGGAATGTAGGGTGTGAGAGGGGAAAAAAAACATTTGTTGAAACACAAATATCTTCTGGGAAACCTATTTGAGCAATTATAACTCTTGCACTGTGACAGTGAAGGGATGTGAAAATAAATACCAGCTGGGTTTTTCTTTCACTATAAATATTTCCTTTATTTCCCTAAATTATCATTCCTTAGATAGTTGTGTAGCACTCCTTGTGTGCTTAGATCACACAAGACTTTGGTGCAGTTATTTGGTGAGCAAAGGCATCGCTGAAGTTTCAGATAATTACTGAATTTTTCTACACATAATTAACAGTAGAGACTGGTGCTTTTTTGGATGCTGGAAATTGGAAGAGTAGAAAAAGAATGCACATAAGTTTTTACATAAAGTAATCTGGTAATAATGCTTGGCTCATGCTCCCACCTCTCACCTATTGATGTTCAAACTATGTATGACATGTGAGAATGACTGACAGCATTGAAATGATCACTGGTGTCTGATGAGCTCATCAGGGCTCATCGTGCATGTATTTGAAATTTTAATCTGAGCCCCTTGGCTTCTAACTTCTTGATATACCTGCTTGTTTGCCTGCAGCTCTATGATGTTGAAAACTGCCTATCTCCAAGCCATCTCTAGAAAACAGAGTTCTTTCCATGCCTACAAACTTCTCTGCAACATGTGCCTGTGGGAGTACTTGACCCCATTTCTGATTGACCACCATCCTCCTCCAGAATCTGGCTCACAAGGCTGGTATCTGTTCCCCATGTTCCCTCATATGCAATGATGTGCATACACATCATAAGAAGGCAGTGGAAGAGGAATTTGGTTTTGCCCTACCAGCCCCAGTAACCTCTGAGCGGAACACAGGGCAGCTGCTCCCCCTGGTAGCCCTTGGGAATCTCTTTCTTCATCATTTCCTGCAGACAGACAGGATGGTGCTGGACAGATGGAGCAAATCCTGAGCTTGGACAAGACTTCCCATCCTTGCCAAAGGACCTCCAACAGACATTGCTGTGCAGGGAAACAATTCCAAGAAGGGACTGAGCATGCCAATGCTGCCAAGGAGTAGAAACTGCTCTGAAATTGAATTCTTACACAGCAAGGATGCTCCTGACATCTCCATGATTTCTATCCAAAGAATGGCTCATCCAGATGTAGGTGGACATATGGCCCAGCCATGAGCTGTGTATTCCCCAGTGGTTGCCATCTGGGTGGTGAGTCCACCAGGACCCCAGGTAACAGATCTTTAAATAAACTGAAACTTGAAACAACCTCTGTGGTCCAGGGGATAATACTGGGGTTCAAACTCTGCCTTAAACCTTATATGGGCACATCCATATTTCCCAACTATCTTTAAAAGGAATAAATGATACTTGGTGGTCTGTAGATGAAAATAAGTCCTAGATTTGGTCATTATTTCAGTAGCTCTGGCTCTACACGTCAACAGATTAAGAAAAGACTCCATTTAGTATGCATCATTTTATTTCTTGTTTAGTTTTTAGTGCTTGAATAATGGCTTTTGTGACAGATGTAATGTGTCACATTTACATGCTTTTAGAGGGGAATAATGCCTCATGACCTTACACTTCTCAAGAGTCCCTCAACCACTCAACTGTGAAGCTGTATACTGCAAATAATCTTTTCAGCTGGCGCTGGGTAATCCCAGAGGTACGTTTCGCATTAGGTTCACTTTTCAGTGATTTATTTGTAATTTCTGCTAAACCACAGTTAAAGCTATCCAGCACTTGGCTGATAAATCAGCAGTGGGTAGCCCTTGCCAACAACACAGTTTGTGTGAAGGCTGATGTAGCCTGGAGTCTGAGAATACAGACAAGTGAAGATGTTGTATGTGAGAACCAATGCCCATGATCTGTCTGGAAGCTGGCTTCCAGTGCACAGTGCTGCTGCCCCTCCAGCGTTCTATGTTGAGCTGTTACTGCTCAGGGCCCAAAGTAAATCATGAGCTGGGCCTGAAAAAGGAGAAACTGGCAAAAATATCCTTTCAGCAAAAAAGAAAGGTTGCTTAAAACCAAGTCCACATGCTTTTGCCATTGCCACAGATTGGTACCAGAACCATTCAGGCCCCAGGAGATATTCCTCATTATCTCTCAGCTCTATCCATCCCAGTTAGTTGTGTCCTGGGACTGTCGGTCTCATCTCCAGTCACTTCTTGGGAGCCCTCCCCAGCAGCAGCATCCCGGTCCTGCAGCACTGCAGCAGGCGCGTCCCTAGGAGTTGCATTCCTCGCAGTGGCAGGAGAGGATGTAGCGGTATGTGGCGGTGAGCCTCATGCCACCTGAGCAGCGCAGCCGCATGGCCTTCAGCTTAGAGGTCTGGGGCCGGCAGCAGTGGCAAGTGGAGCGGAAAGGCTGCTTTAGGACAGTGCTGAAGGACACCATTGGCTCCGAGCGCGATGTCTGGCTGCAACGTCCTTCACAGCGAGCCAGCAGCACCATCTGTGAAGGAAGAGAGATGGGTTAGGAATGTTCTTCCAGTCTGGCTGACCTGTCATCACCGACCACATCTCTCCACCCATGGCACCCCCACCCATCCCTCTGCAGTACAGTTTGTCCAAGAGAGCGGAGGAGGTAATGAGGGCAGAGAAAAATTGAGTCTTTCCTATGGTCCCAGACACCATTACTAGTAACAAATATTGGGCCTGGTTCTCTGACAGCTGATCTTGGGCTCAAAACATTTGCAGCCAGCCCTGTTTTCCAGGCACAGTGACTGCAAGCATGGCTTGCTGGCCTCGGGTTTATGGCAGCTAAGCCATTAAATCATCAGCCAGCCTAGTGCTTTGGTTGGGTATTTTCCAGTGTTTTGAGTTTAGGTACTAGTGATCAGCAGAACTGGTCATCTGGGTCAGTAAATTTCTCAATTGCTTAGAAATATAAACGTGTAAATTAGAAATATAAAGAAGCTTAGTTTATTGCTTCTAAAGAATTATGCTTCTGGCACTGTCTTCTGCACAGATCACCTTGAGTGTGTGTTTGCAATTATATGTGTAAATGTGTTATTACATCAGTTGTATTTGTGTAAAATGCATTGCATAACACAAGGCAGAGAAACATAGACAAGCATGAACTGCTTGCAAAGTATGGGGGTTCCTCAGTAAGATCTTCTGAAAACCAAATAGGCTCCATGATTCTTCTCCTGGATGCACCAACTGAGCTATGACCAGAATAGGTCAACTTGCACAATGAGAGGAGCTAAAGAATGAAATCCCATGGGAATCCAGTGTTTCTGTTCCCAAAAATCCCTTGTTGATAAGTGGAGATGGCTGCAGTCTCCAAAGCTCCGCATAAAACATGGAAAGGACCTTCAAAAGATGAGATGATCATCTGGTTAGAAGCAGCTATTACCACCTTGTAGAGCAAAGTTTAGTACAATTTTAAGCAAATTCTTACACTTTTATGGGGAATTAAATATTATTTAATCCAGATCAGCTAATTCTGATTAACCAATACAGATATTAAACCATCTTTTTGTATCATACAAGCAAGAGCAACATGTGATGGAGGTGATAATGTATGCACCAAAAAAGTTGTAAGTTTATCCTATAACCAAAGAAGAAATTATCATATTTTGACCATATTGTACACATCTTCATGACTTTTCCAGACAATCCAGAAGGACTACTATAGATGTGATGGCAAATATTTTGCAACATTAAACACTTCTAGTACTCTTTCTCTTCACACTCTCAACTGGACACAAATCATACAAGTAGGTATATCAAATGTTTAATTATCAGAAGCATTCTTTTTCAGTTAGAGCCATGTGGAAAGGCGAAAGGAAGAGAGAATATTCACAGTATTGAGTACCGCCAGCACTAATGGTGTCCTTGGAAAAAGCACTGGTTGTCAGTAATGAGCATACTTTGTACAGTACTTAAAAATGCCTCTTCCAAGAGTACTTGCATGATTAAGTATTACTTCAAAATGTGTTAACATGTTAACAACTACACTTCCAGTCAAAAGAAGGAAGGTGCCTTCATGAGCTGATGATCTGAGCTTGCAACGAAGCATCTTCCACCTCAGTTTTCTTGTTGGCTCTTCAATACATTTGCCATCTTTCATAATTCCTAGCATGAATTTATTGTTCACTTTCTCTTGACCATAGAATCATAGAATCAGTTGAGTTAAAAGAGACCTTTAAAGGTCATCTAGTCCAACTCCTCAGTGCTGTCTATTCATAAACCAATTCACTCATACACTAGTAGTAATATGGTGGGAAGGAAGTTTCTGTGTACTATTGAGACACACACGCGCTTTTGATGTATTGGCAATGTTAAGCTCCTTACTATCAGCATATTTAATGTAAGTAAGAGGGAAAAGGAAAGTTAGATCTAGCATCAGTGCTAGAGCCCAGATGAAAATCTACTTTTGTCCCCTGGAAGACAAAACTCCCTTCCCACAGCAACAGGCAAGCAGCTGGAGAAGGGCAACATGTCTAATTACTTTCCCACAAAGGAAACACAGATTGGGACATGTGAAACAATTAGTTTCCTTCCACGTTTTTGACAGTTCTCACTAGGTCCCCCACTTTGACCAGTTCATCAGATTGTGAGCTCTGTCACAGGCTTCCCAAGCATTTGGCTGACATGGAGGCTGAGGAGGAATCTGACTGCAGCCTGCAGTCACTTAGAAGGGAGTTATAAAGACAATGCAGAACAAGTGTCTTCAGGAGTGGCAATAGGGGATATAAAATGGCCACCAGCTTCTTTCTGGGAGCTTCAGAGGACTTCCAGAGTCCCCTCCAACCAACACTCTATGATTCTGTGATTTGAGCCCATATGTGATGTTGCTCTATGATGGAGGTTATTCTAACGGTTGATGCTTCGGGAGCTGGAACAATTAGTCACTTCTGGCACATTTCTCCTCAGGATTTTTTATGCCACACAGCTGTGCTCCTGTATCAGTAGGTACTTCTAGAAACATCAGAAAAAAAAAAAAATAACAGCCCCCAAGGACTACAGAAGAGTTGCAAAAGTTTAATTATAGGGTAGAATCTCTGTCTCAAGCTTTCTAGCACAAAGACAATCAATATTTCTTCATTATGCAACTGCATTTCTAATTTCTTAGCAAACTTTGTTTTTAAAAACATTTCATTCTGTGGAGATTATAATTTTAATCTAAAATTTTGCTGGCTACCTAGCTCTTCAGAAGAGTATAGTTAGTATTAAGACTGTATAAAACAGAATTATATACCTCTAAAATAATCTGAGATAATCTAGTCCAACTGTCCACCTACCATGAATATTGCCCACTAAACCACATCTCCCAGTGACACAACCACATGTTTCTGGAACACTTTAAGGCACAGAGACTCCAACGCCTTTATGGGCAGCCTGTGGCAGCAAAGTTACACAGAGTTGGTCTTCTATTTTATTTTTGGATTACAGTGTACATTTTTTGAAATGGCACTGCACCATGCATACCAAGCCAAACTTGCAGGAGAAATCGATTCAGATTTTCCATTTTGATGGCTTTCTAAACTTCTGAACTAACCTGAAGCCCTCAGCAAAATTTAACCCCCTCCTCATAAATCCCAAAGAGCACCAGCAGATTTTGACAGGTGTGCAAATGAGCTAGAAATAGCATCTACTTTAAAAGCTTTGCTTTGCCATTTAATCAATAGCACCAGCTGTTTATTGCATCACATACTATAGTGCAATAGAGATTATCGCCTAAATTATTAGTAATGATATGATGGCATGGCACAGTAATACAGTAAGTGTATATATAGTAAAAATGTGTGGGTATTTTATAACCTGATATCTGTGCCTCCTGGCTCCCCTGCTCCCCCGCGCATAGTGGCCTGTTCATGTCACCTTGTGATGCTATTCAAGGAAGTATAGAGCAATGCTAGGCAAGAGCAGTGGGGGTTCTGCGTGCTTGTTTGAGCAGCTAGAAAAGTATGGTTTTTTTCCACTCCAAGTCAGTAATCTCATATCCATCTGACAGCTACAGAACAACCACATTCTGGAAATTTAGAACTTTTTAATTGGCTTGTTACTTTTAGTATTAGTATCCTCATTTTCTACACTCTTTGAGAATGTGTTGAGTCCTGAGCGGATGTGCTGAATGCATGAGCAAAGGCTTGCATACAGCTTTCATGGCCTGGCTGCAATCAGGAATGGCAATCCTCAAGAGCCACCTCCTGAGCAAATGCATTCCAACGTTTGCTAAACTTTTATACACCTGATGCTCGTCTCACTGGCCCAGATTCTTTACCGCTAAGCTATCAGCAACAGCATGCCTCTGGTACATCTGGAGGAAGCACTTGTGACAGCTGATACCATAATTTATGAGGATCTGATTGTGATTGCAAGGCATCGGGGAAATGGCCTCAAGTTGCACCAGGGGAGGTTTAGGTAGGATATCAGGAAGAACTTCTTTACAGAAAGGGTTTTTAAGCACTGGAATAGGCTCCCCAGGGAGGTAATTGAGTGACCATCCCTGGATGTGTTTAAAAAGCATTTGAATGTGGTGCTCAGGGACATGATTTAGTGGTGGGCTGTTAGGGTAGTATGGTTAGGTTGTGGTTGGACTTGATGATCTTCAAGGTCTTTTCCAATCTGAGCTATTCTATGATTCAGTACAACACATCAAAGGTTAGTGACAGAGGTCAGACAAAATCCAATACAGCCAGAAAAGTCAGCACCTCACAAGCTGACACACATTTCCTTCAATTCAAAGGAAAACACTTGGGCTTTACAGGAGCAAATTACCTTCTTTCATCCCTCCTTTGTTTTGTCTATACATTCTGTTACTATAATGGGCTACGTTTCCAAAAGCTTTGGAAACCTATTTTCTACATCTGCTTGACGTCACAAGCAAGAGGGATTTTAATGGTTAAATTAGACCTGGGGAACTTTTCCAAATGTAGCAAGACTACTTTCCATGTGGATATAACTGGCAGCCTCTCCACAGAAAAATATGGTAAATGTAATCCTTGTTTAACCAAGATGGACAGCAAAAGTAATACATCTTGCAATTTCTGAAGTCATTTTTAACTTCTGTATTTCTGTGTTGCACTAAAAGGGAAAATGTACAGAGTGAAAAAAGATGGCTTGGTGAAACCAATGCATCACTCAAAAAAAGGGCAAAATCTCTGACAGAAATTCAGTCCTAGCTCCAAAATGAAAACACAGTGGAAACAAGAAGTACTGCAATTCTCATAGCTACTCCAGCAGAACCTTCCTTTTTTTGACTTATGTTTTATTACAGTATATACAGGAGCAGACATCACATCTACTTTTCATTAGCAAGTCTAATATTGATCTGTGTTTACAGATCTGTGCTAGATCCAGAACAGAAGCCATCCGTCTATCAGAAGATTCAGATCCCTGAGACCTTAACAAAGAAAGAGCTTAACTTGACAAATGGAGAAATAATATTTTCAAACATGATTTCCTTTAAAGGCCTCATTTAAAAAAAATGTTATGGACATTTCTGCAGTTAGTTACAGATATTCATGTCAATAGCATTTTTTATCAAAGCTCTGTTTTAAAAGAATATGTTTTTCATTAGATTGCTTTTCGTGTTCTCATTTCCATCATTCCCAGTCTTATATGCTTAATTATTTTTCTCTGCCCATAGGAATGATAAGAAAACAAGTTGTTGGTGGGATTCTTTCCTTATTTCCTTCCCTCCTTCCCTTCCTTCCTTCCTTCCTTCTTGCCTCTCATTCTTTTTTCTATGTGATGCCTGTAGCAGCAAGGCTTTTAACATAAACCTGGAGTGCAGCGATGATGATGATGGAGGAAGGAAAGCAACCACAGAGTGAAAGGGTTTTGTTCGGGTTTACAGGAGCATGGACATCCAAGCCATTGTGCAAAAGACCAACAGAATCCTAGAAAGGTGCAATTGCAGTTCTTGGTCACGTGAACTCAGGATTCGCCTCATACTCTGATCCTAAAAGCCTCCACCATGAGACACGGATGAGGCACAAAAGCCCAAGAGTTGTGTAGCAAGCAATATCCTTAGCATGTAAAAAAACAAACAAAAAAAGCAGCAGAATGAGGCAGGTGGCTCTGGAGATGCAGAAGCATGTGAATCTGTGAAGCTAGGAGTAGAAAGGCATCAGGAAATGCTGGCAACCATGGTGGCTGCTGGAGAGCTGTCAGTGATGTAGGGCTAAGCAGAGGCAAAGCCATGCTGTGGGAATTCAGTGCAGCCAAGGAATGGTGAATGGGTGGGTAACAGCCCACAAGAGGAGACTGGGACACGGGAGCCTTTGGCCCTGGTCTGGAGAAGCCCCATCCCTCTTGCTCCAGAGCTGAATGGACAGAGGTCAGGCTAGGACCCATTGCACTCATCCTCTTGTTGGAAGCAGTGTGCTGGGGCCATTATAATTTCTGTAATGCTGGATGCTTTCCATATGGGAGGAAAATCTAGTATGGGCTAAAATCAGAGAAAAAACCCTCTTCTGAATCTCAAGTAATACGTGCTTTTGTTGTTCGAATTCAAGAGCAGTCAGACAAAAACCTCTGATCTCATGCTGCTGTGGATCAGAAGTAAATATTTACATAGCATGTCAGGCAGCGCTGGTATGAGACCAATGTTACAGAGACTCAAGCTTGGCTGTCCCACTTGCCCATTTTGGAAGCTGTTGGCTTCCCCAGCAAGCAGAGGGATAGCAAGACATGCAGATTAATCATATAACCATAGAATCACAGATTGGGCTGGAGGGACCGTAAAGTGCACCTTGCCACAATCCCCTGCTGTGGGCAGGGCTGCCACTCACCAGACCAGGCTGCAAAGGACCCATTCATCCTGGCCTTGAGCAACTCCAGGATGGAGCCCAGCCTCTGCAACTGCCTTTTCCTGCAGCCCTTGAACATTCAGATGGGATGATTCTCTTCTTTCTGTGCTTTATTTTACACTTTCTGGCCTGCTACTGCTAGCGGTATTACCTTATCCCCATGCTGAACCTGAGAAGCAAATAATTCATTCTATGTACAAAGACATCCAGGTGGTGAAAGAGTCAGCCAACATGGCTCCTCTTGACTCACAAATGCTCCCAGGTTTACTGTGGATGGGCTTTGCTCCTATACCACAGCCAGCCTTTCTTCCCTAAAACCCCCACCAACTGCTCTGTTACATGTTGCAGCTGGTACAAGTGCTGCATGGGCTGCTGTCCCTCTTCATTAACTCCAGGAACTGGGTGTCTGAGGTAAATCCCTTTCTGAGGAACAGTAGAATGGCCAATGTGAAGATCACATATATACTGTCTTTGTTTGTAGCAAATGATGACAAGATAAATGGGACCAGCAAGGATTTTTGCATTGTTTCTCCTAATTCTTTTTCTCTATACAATGAGATAAATGACTGTAGGCTACATATGTGGACTCCCAGACTTCTTTGACACTAGATTTTTCAGGCTTGAAATCTCAAAGGAAGGCTCCAATTAAAATTAATTTACAGGAGGGGCTAACTGGGATAGAATCACAGAATGGTTTGCATTGGAAGGGAGTTCAAAGCCCACCTATCCCAACCCCTGCCAGCTGCACCCCACCAGCTCAGGCTGCCCAGGGCCCCATTCAACCCAGCTTTGAGCGCTTCCAGGGAGGGGGCACCACAGCTTCTCCACAGTAACCTACTCTTCTGAACTCGCTCATCTCCTTGGTGTTGGCAGCTGATTCCTGAGAGTGCTCCTTTGAATCGCCTCATTTACTGCATGTTAGTCTGACCATCACCATGTATTTCTCCTTCTGAAGAAGAAAGAATCAAGAGACTTCCTCTCCAGCTGATGTGTACACTCAGATGCCTCTACCTCTGTATATATCTGTGATTGGGTTGCAGGAATTTATACAGAGGAACTCACACAAAATGACTTATTTTAACACTTCTCCTGCAGGGGAGCAGAACCCTTACCTTTGAGCTGCACTTGTACAGGGGATGGCTGATGGAGTCCACATAATGATGCCTCATGCAGCGGCTGGGATCGGTGTCGATCATAAAGGAACTGTCTGGTTTGCTGTCCGTGTCTCCCATCATTGCCAGGAGCGAGAGCATGGAAATTGAAGCTGCAAGTACATGACTTCCCATTGTTGAGGAACTTTGCTGTGATAACAGCAGAGGGAGGTAGAGGATTAAAAAAAAGCCGAATACTGTGAGCCAGTTCCTCTCCAGGAAAGTAAAAAGTCTGGTTTAAGTCTCTCAGTTGTCATTCTTCCTCTGGAGTTAGAGTTTGCTGAGATTGTAATCCATCAGAGAATCTCCCGTATAGCTGGAACAAAAACACCATAAATCACGATCCTGACCAAAAACAGCTCTGAAGAAAAACAGACATAAATAATAATAAGGCTCATAGGATTTTTGCTTGCCAAAATACACTCTCAGAGGGAGCATCACTCCCACAGTAGGTATGGCACGCGACATTAGGAAGGAGATGTGTTACTTTAAGCATTTCTCCATCATTTTTTTTACCACAGAGACTCTTTTAACTTTTCATATTACAAGTGTTGCAGCACCCGTCTTGTTCACTCAGCAGTGTCCCTAATGGGTTCCCCTCAAAACTGGTGATGGATAACACATCAGAACTTGCTGCAAATGGGAAGGACAGCATATTCACTTGAACTGTCAAAAAGCACGCTTAGAGACAGGGTCAGGCTGCCTTCTGCCTTACCAAAGGGAATTTCCCAGGCAGCAAATGGAGAGGAGGAAGACAGGCAGCGCTCCCACAGGGACAAGGGACACAACTGGATCCTGTCTGGGCACAAGCAGTGCAGTCCCTGTTAATTAAAGAACAGGATCTGAAAAACACATAGTATTCCATAATATCCAAGTGCATCCCAGCTGTGAAGTGGGGAAAAGATAGATCTACAGGTGGAGTCACAGACATTGCCATTCAGTCATCTGGGTTTGTAGCATGTTGGAGACCAGGAGGGATCCCTCAAAACCTGGCTCGAAACAACCCTGAAAAGCCCTTCAGGAGAACATCTCGCTGGGCTGCCCACAGCTGTAGTCTTAAATGGGTGATTTAACTTTGCTTTTGCTACACAGAGCTACAGCGTGGAAGAGCTGTGAATTATCCTGCTGAAGCAAAGAGCAGTTTTCAGTACAGCTTAAAGTTCGAGGACTTTAAGAGAACTATGACAAAAAAGTTCACTGCTCATGCAGAAATGCTCCCCGAAGCTTCTTGCCTATTTAAAGAAATGCCACATTCCCTTTATTGCACAAGCCTCATTCAAAACAGCTTTGTGCTTTGCTGACAATACTCTAAGATGACAGATACTCATCTCTTGAACAGCCTGAAACGGCGAGGCCTCCCCACCAGAGTGCTCAGTGATTTGTATACTGCTTTATAGCTTGCTCCAACCCTTTTGCAAGAGGAGCACATAAGAAGCAGTAAACACTTCCAGAATTTGTCCAAGCTGAGAGTCGGGACTTGTCAGGCAAGGTCTCATGCTGGGAAGAAATATACTTAATTAGGGATGATCTGTGTGTTAGACATTTATGAAAGCCTTTTTTGGGTTCAAACTATTGTTCGTATGCCTAAATAGAAAAGGATAATTTATGTGTCTATAATTTATTTAACTATATATATTTTTTCCCCAGCGTCTGATGTATTACCTACTGTACTTAGCCATAGAAGTCATAGAAGCCTTTTCTGTAAGCAAACATAGTGGATGTGGCACTGAAAAAAATGCTATGTCTTTTCAGTACGAGGAGCTTAAGCAACGCTAAACACAGAATCTCAGATACGTTTGTGCACACTCTCCGTCACCTCAACAAATATTCCTCCAAACATTTCAGCAAGACAAGAGGGAAATCTCTCTCTCATGGGAGCTGGGACAGAGCCCTCCACAGAAGCAAGACTGTGGTTCACAGAGATGTTGTCCAAGCATTAGCTAACAGGAGGAGTGATGCACTTTTTTTGTGTTTAACCTTTTACCTACTTTCCCATTCTTCTTTCTAAAGAGGCTGACCAAAACACTCTGCTTGGCAAGGTCTCTCTCCAGCATAGCTTACCAGTATTACACACCCAGCAACTCCTTCTCTGTCCAAGAAAGTTTACTTGATATTGGATGGTCTCATCTCATTTACTGCTATATCCAGGGATCCCCATTTCCCACTCTCTCTGTCTCAATCTTTTTTTTTTCTCTATCTTTCTATGGTTTTGATCAGTATGATTTAATACAGTGAGAGAAATCTGGTCCTGGCTCAGTTTTCAAAGGCTTATCTCTCTAGTTTGCTTCAGGAAATAATTGAATGACACAGAGTCTGCCTCACAAAAACACTGTGAGAAAGTTGAGAAGAAGGAGGGGAAAATGTGAGAAAAGGAAAGTGTCTGTACCTTCTTTAGGATAAGCACAGCACAAAATCTGCACAAAAAGTCTTAGCAGACTCACAGCCTTTTAAAATTTCCCTGACACTTTCCTGGCAAAGAAATGAAGTGTAACTCGGTAATAAAACTCCAATAGAACACAAGCAGAGTGTTATATTTGTTGGTAAAAAGAGACCATCTTTCTGTCTCTTGTGACCCATCTTTTGTGAAAAAGCTGTGATTTGTTGCTGATGGACATACTGGCAAAATGAGCATGCTGGAATTGATGATGGGACTGCAGAGAACACTGGGATATTTGCACCTCCAGTATCTACTGTCATGCTTATGTCAGTTATGCACATATATTTCTCAAGTACATATACCATATACTATTGAGCTATGTAGAAAAATATATATCTCTCACAGGAATATTTAGACATACAGAAGTTAGTGTATATTTGGGCCAGAAGTAAAACATTTTTTAGAACATTGGTTCTAAAAGGTGTAAATATTTTCACTCAGATACATCACCATGGCATGACATTCCCACTTCCAGCTAAAACTGTGCAATGGGATATCATTTCAAATTAGCACCCAGATTTTATTTAAAACAAAACGAAACATTCTTTTTTAAAACACTGTCTGAAATTACAAAATACTACACATTACGTGGCATCAGGAATTACATCTGTCTGTCCATCTGTCTCAAAGCAGAAGTACACCTCTAAACATTAATTGTTGTAGATGCACTTAAAGGTGATATTTTGTGTTCTACATCATTTAGAACATTCCACTTTTTTGGTCAAAATCAACAATTTCAGATCAATTTTTTTTGTTTAATTTTATTTGAGCTGCCTTTCTCCTACTTTCTTCTTACCTGAAAAACTGTGGTGAGCAGTCAATCTGCCAAGCTAAGAAAGAGGAAGGTGAAATGCTTCTGTTTTACAGCATCCCATAAAGAAGAAGATACAGTGGTGACTACATATTCCTAGGATGAAAATTAGCTACGAAAAATATTTGGCCAAAGAATGAATGAAAATCACTGCTTTCCATTCTTTCAGAATTCACTGATATGAGCATTATGTGTTGTTAATAATAGGCTTACAAGTGCACTTTCCCTAAAACTGCTTTTTCAGAACTCACATGGACATATCATGGTAAATTACAGCTGTCGTACAAAACTGCTACAACTGTTATTTAAAAAGTGAAGGGAAAAATGGAAGCCATCCCAAGGCCAGAGGATGCAAACATTCAATCTAAGGCTGCACCACACATGAATACTGGGGCAGAGTTAAGGTTATTTTACCAACCTTGTGTTATCATTACCTGTTCTTTGAATGCTTCAAATAAAGGTTTTTTCTAATCACAGTCTCAATATAATTTAAATAGCAGAGGAGGTTAAGATTTTTGGTTTGCTCTAGGATCAAAACAAAAATTCCATCATCTGGAATTATTTAGTCAGTTGCTTTGGGAGAACATAAACAGAAATTCTCTTTTACTATGTATCTTGGAAAAAATCAAGAAATGAGGAATTCTCCAAAGAATCTATTGGATCTGCTCAGCTTTTACCCTGAAATACAGGAAGGGAGCAATGAAAAACCTTATTTCTGGTGTACTTCCATTTAGCTGTTCCCTGCTTTTGAGCCCGTGAATTAGGCATGCACGTATATTCATCTTGGCCTTCATTTGGAGAGTATTTTTTGTTCTTCATACTCCTGCTTTATGATGATGATGCAGTTCAATTCACTCAACGTCTTTCATGTTCCAGAGGCTGCCAAAATCCAGTTGGAGCAGCAGTGTGTATATATAACTAAGCCCAGCCTTGCGTGTTGTGCATATTTAGTAAACACAATTACTTGGAACCTGCCAATGTGGTTCCCTCATTCTCAATTAGTTATGTAAACAGAGAAATTGTAAGACCACTCAGTTTCTCCAAAATCCAGCCCTAAAAAACTGTTACTAAATATGTTTGTGTTTAGATTACTGCTGCTGTTCTGAGAAAAATGCCACAGAGATCTTTATGAGGGCAAAGTGGATTTTCTGATAACTGTGTTATACCTGGAAAAAATTAGATCGGAAGAGTTGATATTTGGGACATTTGCACTCTGCTAAGATCAGAACTGGAATTGTGCTACGTGGTGGTCAGCAGGGCAAGGGAAGTGATTGTATGTCTCTGTTCTCATAAGATCCCACTTGGAGTACTGAGCCTGGGCCTGAGGTCCCCAGCAAAAGAAGGAGTGGAGCTGGTGGAGATACTTACAGTGGGCCTAGAGGAAAACTGGGGAGGGAGTATCTGTCAGGGTATGTAGTGCTAGGAAAAGATATGATGGCGTTAATCGAAAAGAAGGTGCATTCAGATTAGACATTAGGCAGAAATCCTTTACCCAGATAGTGATGAAGTCCTGGCACAGGCTGTCCAGAGAAGCTCTGGGTGCCTCATCCCTGGAGGCATTCTGGAGGCAGCCTGGTCTAGTGGAAGTTGTCCCTTGCCATGGCAGAAGAGTTGGAACTGGATGGCCTTTAAGGTCCCTTGCAACCCAAACCATTCTATGATTCTACTGTTAGGATTTGTTCTGCAGAGTTAAGCTCTCCACTGCCATGAGAAGGGCCATGAAAAAAGATGGGGATGGGAGGTGGGGATGAGCAAGCAGTGTGCGGCAGCCACATTACATGTTCTGCTTCCAGGCCTCCTCCAGGCTCCACAGCATTTTGATGGCTTCCAGGCAATGTCACCTTCCACACGTTGCCCAGGAAAACTGCTTGGGTAACATCATTGTGGGACAAAATCATAGAGGTCACCATTTGAGCAATTTAATAGACCAGTTTATCTCATAGTAGAGACAACCTAACATGCTCTGCCTGATCCTGCTTGCTGTCAGCTCAGAAATTTTATAAGATCCTGTGTATGCTTTGGTTTTGTTAATAAATATGCTTTTCCTCTCGTTATGTTATTTTACTGCAGCCATTTTGTGCTGATGAGGTAGTTGGCCTGCCATATGTGCATTCAAAATACTTTTGTATTTTGTGACCACTGCACTGTTAGATAAATATCTCCACGCAGCACTTAGACAGATTTCCTCCCTGCATTTTGCCACAGAGGTGGCAAAGGGGTTATGCAGTGGCCATTGGGACATAGGACTGGGATCCCACAGGGACACTGAGGGCTGAACCTTGAACAAGCCACAGAGATGTGTGTGCCCACAACATAAAAACAGTGCAGCTCTGTGCAATTCAAGAGACTCCTGGAGATTCCTGACTACCAGCATGAGAAAGGTAGGAAGCAACAAAAAGGAAAATAGAATAAATCACATAATCATACAGCGACTTAGGATGGAGGAGAACTCAAAGTCCATCCAGTTGCAACTCCCCTGCTATGGGCAGGGTTGCCACCCTCGAGGTCTGGCTGCCCGGGGCCCCATTCAACCTGGCCTTGAACACCTCCAGGGATGGGTCATATATTTCTGAAGAAAAATACCTGTGCTGGTAAGCCGACTGAAAAAGAAAATGAAATAGGAAAACCATGCTAATCCATAAGAAACAATGGTCAGTAATTACGGCACATGCAAAGGAAGAACTCATGGCTGCTGATGACCCTGGGGCAGGGAGATCTGGTGGCTGCTCTGCACGGCCCCACAAGTGGGGGCACAGTGGGGGGACCAGGAGAATGAGATGGAACAATTCTGGCTGAACAGCACACAAGCAAGCCAAGTTTCACTCCCCTTTTGAAGTCTCCAAGTGTGTTTTCAGTCCTCCAGGTAGCTGAGAGGGGGGAGAGCTACCAATGCTGCTGGGCAGTTGAAATAACAACATCTAGTGGGTGCTGCGGACTGGCGCCCAGCCAGCAGACAGGCAGGGACAAAAATGGAGAAAGATTTTTAATACACTTGCAAAGAATAGCTACTAGTAGACAAAAGAGTGCTTGTATTTTTATTCTTTCTTTTTGCTGTCTCTAGGAAACTTTAAATAGATTGATTAGAGGCATGCATAGGATCTGTCTCTAATGAGTCTCAGAGCAGGCAGAACTGTTTAATGGCACAGTGATGCCAGCTTTGGACTCCTTATTCAATCTTGTGTCTTACAGAGCAGTTCTGATCATCAGTTGGAGATGGAAACAGGGAGGAATCCAGCTTTGCTCTTGCTTATCGAAACAGTGCTGAATGGCATCGCCCCTCAGGTTCAGAGCCAAGCTATATTCAAAAGGTTCCCATCTCTCCCAGAAGGAAACCAGCAGGTTGGAGGCTGCTGGGCACATGCAAATATTCCCAGCTGAGCATTAGCTATAGGATCTGCTTCAGTAATTACCTCTGTGTTAGTCTTATGACCCAACATAAGTTAAAATGACTCTTGGCCAAATTACAAGTTGCTGAGAGGTCTAGGGCATTCGGGCATGTGTTCTCTTACCTGTTGGAGTGTGCTACAAAACAGTGAATGTTTCTGGTTCTCTGGCTTTCATTATACTGCTTGTCTGATGATTAGAGATTACTTTAATGCATTTACTGAAGAGCCGTAGTTATCACTAGATGCAGGAATGAGGTTCTCATTCTTTAACATTAAGCAAAGACATCGCTGCCACCAGGATGAGCAGTGTGCTATGCAACTGGAGATAGCCCATGACTGAAAGAAATATTCCCAGTAGCAAAATCCTCTCTTCTTTTATAGACAGGCAAAATTCAGACTAACATCCATGTACCTCGATTAATTACAGAACCTAAGCATTTGGCTCATGGCAGCAATTTTTTGTCATCTAGCAGCATTCCCCTAGGTCCCACTCTCTTTGAGCTGTGCTGCTATGACAGTAATGCGATTGTCACTGCCATGGTATGCTTAACCTTTGCCAAACCAGAGTGGAGGCATTAACTTAGATCTTCAACTCACATGTCTTAAAGGGCAATGTAACCTGTGCTGCCTCCTCTGCTGAACTGAGGTCTGCAGCCCCGTAACAATCAGCATGAAAATGTGACAAGCATGAGCCATAACAGTGATTGATGCAGGTAGAAGAATAACAAAGAGAAGCTGAAGAACAGCAATGCAGTGGAATTCCTGGGTGCGCTGTCTCCATGGCATCAGCAGCCAAATGCTGGGATGCCAGAAGAAAGGCTGGAATTGCCCATGGTAGGAGGGATCTCTGTGAAATTCACACAGTGAAATTCCAACAAAGGGGACAAGAACTGTTGGTGTCTGAAAGTGGTAGTGCCACTGCTACCCGGGTAATCGTCTGAATTAGATTATGTGAAAAAAGAAGGAATATATAGACCGCCAGCTGCTCAAAGGCTTACTACAACCTTGCTTTTATTGTTCAGCTAAGTTAGAGGTGGGGCATCAGAAGGATTCCATGCATACCACTGTTGAGAAATTTTAATATGTTCCACACTGACACATATAAAAAAGAAATAACAGCTGATCATATCCAGCAGAGACAGCAGCATCTCTTCATATGCCTGCAAAGAACTGTGGGCAAAGTGGGGTGCTCTTGGTCAGAAGCAGACAGCTGAGCTAACCCAGCAGCAATCCAGCATTTCTCTTGCCAACAGGCTTGCATGAGGGCTGTTCAGCAAGAAACAAGGAAATAGCAGGAAAAAAGGTGAAGTGGGCACAGCTACTCACCCCTATCCCAAGATACCAGGGTGTGGGGAAGGGCAAGGAGTGGAGTTGCTGCGTGCTGAACACTGATGAAAAGAAATACGTGGTTACACAACCCGCAGTGATCCAATGGAACAAGATATCACAAGGGCAAAAGTTGAGCAGGGCTCAGTAAAAGGACTCGATATGTATGAGAGGGTTGCAGTTTGAAGGGTTTTATTTTTAAAGAGTTTTGGGAAGGGCTGTAAGCTCTCAGGACTCTGAGAGCTCGGTTGATGGGGCTAGGGAAAAATCCTTCATGGCAGCAAGTTCCCCTGTTGCTGTCTGCCCCAGGGTCTCTGTGCTCTGCTTTGATGTGGCCGCTTCCAGCCACGCTCAAGAGGTGATTACTCAAATAACAGGGCGCTGCAATGCAGGCTCATGTAGCGAAACTTTTCCAAACCTCAGAGACGCAAGTGCCTCTTGGTACTCAGCAGCACATTAGGGGCAGAGGAACTTGTTCTATTTGTAATAGTAGTTGGTAGTTGTAATTACAATAGTATTGTTTGGGAGAAACGGGATCTTTTTAAAATTCTACTTTCCGTTAAACAAATGATCTTCTAGATTTGTTGCAAAAATGTATGTCTCAGTGACTTCACGCAAGCTCTGCAGCATAGGTCTTCAGCTCCCTCCAAAGATCAAGAGCAATCTTGCTCACTTCCTAGTGCATCTGGCAGCAGACACACAGGGAAGGGGATAGCAACAGCCCCAGGGAAATGGGGAATGAATTCAACTCCACAAGGGCTCCTTGTCAAAAAAGTCAGCACCAGCCTGGAAGAAGGTGGTTCACCTCCCGACCACCCTGGCAAAAGATACTACAGCACTGGCAACTCAAACAAGCAAAAGCATATATGGGCTGCCTAAGCCTCTATGGCACATTAGGGATTGTTCTGTTGGGGTCAATGGCTGTTGCTGAGAACAGCACAGTGTGATGGCTACCTGGGGTATTGCTACAGCTAGCTACACAAGGCTGTCTGTAACAAGACAGTAATTAGAATAAGAAGAGGTAGCCTCTAATTATATCCCCTAACTAAATTAAATTTCTTCCTATTTTGTAAGTTGGAAACATCTCCTGTTCCTTCCCCATTTGCTTGTAACTGGAAAATCTTACAGTATATTTTTATAAAACCAGTATTACAAATAAGATTGCATTGCTCCAGCATGAGTAACATCAAGGTACAAGTCACATTGGTAACCTCTGATTCAAGCTGGTAAGTAATTACTCACTAAATAGTTCTATTTAAGTCAAGGGAATTATTCATGTGCATAACTGCTCACAGATATGAATAAGGTCTCACAGTCTGGGCAAAACTGAGCACCATTAGCAATTCAACAAGAAAAAAAAAAAAAAAATCGTAAAACATAGATTTTCTTTGGAGGAAGAACAAATAACCACAGCACTGTGATTATTGTATCTGCATTCATTGACCTGCACCAGACATACGGGTTGTTCTAGTAGGAAATAATTTTATAGTGAGGAACTGATTTGGAATGAGTTTGTACCCACTGGTGGTTTTAAATAAGCACTTCATAAAATCGTAGAATAACCCAAGTTGGAAAGTACCCATGAGGATCTTAAGTGTGGAGTCCTCGCTTCCCAGTGACTATGATGTTGACTAGGACAGAGTCGCAAAACCTTAGAAACTGCAATGTTTAGCAAAGAAAAATTGTTCTTTCATTTCTAAAGAGCGAGTCACTTGTTGTGCCATCAGTCAGAGGTAGAAACAAATAGGATGTATTATGGGGACACTGTGGGAGAAATTTAAATCAGCTTTAAGGTAGGATAAGAAATCTGCTTGACAGTCACAGAGGAGTCAGTGCACACACATTGCCTTGCAAAATCATATCTGCCACAAGAAAATTATCACCTCAAAAACACATTCAGTTTGAGTCATTCTACTGACATTGGAATATCTAGCTAATGCAGCACAAACAGCTGAGACTGCTCCTCACATCGCTTGTCTTCATTACTTGGGGATGTTTTTTTTGTTGTTGTTGTTGTTTTTTTTTGTTTTTGTTTTTTTTTTTTTGCTACTGAACCCATCAATTTGAACTTTTATAGGTTGAATTCTCTTACCTGAGTCTCAGCAGAGAGATGGGGCTTTCCTCCTCAGCGGGGTTCTCAATATCCACTCCAGAGGACTGTACTTACACTGCTCTACTGCTTTATCTCTTGGCTCACAACAGCAAAACTCTTCCTTTCTCCCTGAGAGGCAGAGAACAGCCATGCTCGTCCCCTGACACCGCTGCACAGCGACTCGATGCCCCAGCATGCCGGGATTTCAGGATGCCGAGAGCCTCCCCCTCCCGCAGCGGGCGGCCGGGGGTCCCGCGCAGCATCCTCCCACCCCAGAGACTGCCCGCCCGGCCACACGCACGACGCGTCGTGCCGAGGGTCGGCTACCTACTAAATATACCCTGTGGGGCTACGGCAAAGGCAAAAGCCACGGCTTCCCTCACAGGCTTCAGCCAATCAAGGATGGGTATGAAACCTAGCCTAATCCGTAGCCAGTGCTGTCCAGTCTGTAGTAAAGCTTCCCAGAAGTTTGGATAAATAATAACGTGCAAATTAAGGGTGCTCCCACAGAGCATGACACGCAAAGCTAGAAATAAATATTGCCTGTTGTTTTTAATTATTCTGAGTGCTCCAGCAGATGATTGGCAAGAGAAGGTTGTGCACAAGTAGGAATAAAAGTAAACAGCTCGGTTTTAAAGTAGCAGGCTTGCCCGCATCCATAGCTCCCTACTACAATGGGACTAAGCCAGTGATGGCAATAACAACTGGGGCAGCACCCAGCTGGTCCATTCACTTCAAGCCATACAGTCACAGTCAGTGCAGAGGTGCAAACAGGAACCTGGCACACTCACAAAAGTAAAAGTTTAATCAAGTTACTCAGACTGTGCTACCTCTCTGCTTGCTTACAGGCATCTTTCAGGCAGAAGACAGATCTAAAGACAGGATTAGGAGACAGGTAGTAGAGCTTTGCCCAGTCTACAGTATCGCATTTTAATTAAAAGCCAACACACAGAGAACACGTGTTTGTCAGATTAAGTGCTAAATTTAAGCCCATGAAACACTCAAACCTAGAGGAAAATTATTTGTGTGCTTACCTTCAGCGAATGCTCTGCTCCTTCCTTCCCTCCAGCTCTTCAGAGAGCTAAAAAGAGGTCCTGTTGCTTCCAAATGCTTTTGTTCTGCTGTCCCTCTGTCACATGGTTTGCCTTTTATATTTGCAACACACAAAAGTTAGGGCTGTTTAAGAGAGAGGGAGAGAGAGGGAGAGAGAATGTCAAATGGAAAAGTGCCATTGCAGTCATATATCAATCAGGGCAGCGGCAGCAGCAGCTCGCTGGCAAATGGGAATTCCACAGAAATGCAAAGCTCTTGTTATCTGAGAAATCACAAAACGCCACCAGCCAAGCTCCCCTCTGCAGGGACTTCTTATTATTGGCAAGCCAGGGAATAGAAGGAAACGTAGGCTTTTGTTGTTGTTGTTACTGTTTCAGATCTGGAGATATGTATGCAAGGGCACATGTAAGACAATGGAATACAAGTCCTGAATAAAATTCCATTCTAAATAAATGTGCTGTGTACAAGACAAAGCAAACCACAGTGCAGTGAGGTAATTAGAGCTAAGAAAATAATCTGAAAATAATAATTAAAAATTTTTATATGTATTTGCACTTGTAAAATATCCACAGGGAAACTGCTTTTTCACTGAGTTACTCATTAATCTCATTTTTTTTCCCTGAGAATTATTTTTTAGATTTTATGTGAGCTGTGATTGTTCTCAGATATTCCAAATTCAAGCTGTGCTGCTTTACTGCAATTGGTCACCTAAATCATCTGACATTCTTGGGCTTCCCAGTTGAGTAAGCAGACATATTTGTGTGTAAATCTGCAATTCAGGTGCTTCAAATGATCAGCCCCAAATTCTGAAATTTCTCTCAAATCGACCCTCATATGCTCTCAAAGGCATATTTAAGATGTCTAGCTAACATTCTTTCTTTTCTATCCTCTGTGATTGTCAGTGTTTGAAAATGATTTCCTTCAAACCTTTTACATAAATATTGTCTTTTATGCAAAAATGAATGCTCTGGAAGGCTGAAGGCAGACTCCATCCAGTGGAGAAACCTACTTACAACTAGAGCATCCCGAACACGTTTGTCTGTGCATGGCTCTGGATGCACTAAACCTCTTTTTTGACTCCCACAGTGGAGCATGTTTTCCTTCCCTTTGGAGTGCCCCCTAGTCATCCCGAGGCAGTACGGAGCACGAGGAAGAGCAGACCTTAGCTGGTTAATTAAAAAATAGGCGACATAGCTGGCCATTCACAAGCTGGATCTGTTCAGAGGCACTGGCCAGCAGATGGACGGGGTCCTGTGTCGATTGTGTTTGAACTCTAAAGGAAAGTTGGTATTTGATGGATGATGTTATTAACTAAATGTCTTATGTAGTATTAGATCAAAGAACAGATGGAAATTATGCCTTAAAAATAGAATAATCTAAAAGGGGAATGGCTTGTAGATGAGTAAGCATCATGGAAACAATAAAGAAGACATTCTTCGGCTTGCCTTGCTGCAGAGCCAGGTTTGGCTAACAGGATAAAAAATTGATCCACTTAGGACTCACATCCTTAGGACATGAGTTTTCCTGAATGTTTTACCCTCATATTCAGCGCTTATGTTGTTTTGCCTCTTTAGTCAACCCTGGGCTTCTCTCACTTACCATATCTGTATGGGCTCTCTGCCTCCTTTGTTGTGGATACCCAGTGTGGATGATGGCTGAGCTCAGCATCATCTTCACTCACTTGGAGTGGCAGGCTGAAATGCCACCCACAATCTGGCACTGCGCTTACTTTAAAAAAGACTATCCAGAACAATGCTTTTTAATTTAGCCTACACCTGCTTGTTAAACTGAAGGCATTGTCCCTTTGGTCATTCAGCTGCCATGTCCACTTGTCTCTGTTTATCTATGGGAAGGAAAGTGGCTCACATATCTGGTTGCTCACATAAAGGACCTCGCATGTCCAAGACAGAAGACACACCAAGCAGCTTCTGGATGAAATCTGGAGATGTAGATAATTCACATTCCTTACTGAAAATTACACTTCTTGAGTTCTAAAAGGCACAGCACAGGTTTGTTTAGTTTGTGTCATCTATGGGAGAGAATATTCTTATTAGTTACTATTTAGGTGCAAAGCACACGTTAAATACTCAGTAATTAGCGATTACATGTCAAACAGTGGTACTTCTGAGAAGTAATGCTTATCTGGCTTCTTCCACTACAACAATTTCCAAATGCAGGAAAATCTGCAGATATTGGACATAATTTGACAATAACAACAAAAATTGCATTCATTTTTTCATCCTCAGCTTCAAGACCACATTTGGCAGTAAGTGAAAGTTAATCAGCAGTTAATTAACCTCATAGGCTGGTGACTTACAAACTGACACTGCCATTTGTGGTCTGAATGAAATGAAGTATGATTGAAAGCACAAAAGTAAAAGTATGAAAAATACCCCCCCCTCTCCACCTTCCAAAAGAACTATAGAATCATAGAGTCATCGAATCTTAGAGTCATCAAATCATAGAATAGCTTATGTATGAAGGGACATTAAAGATTATCTAGTCCCAACTCTCTGCTGTGAGCAGGGCTGCCACCTACCAGATCAGGCTGCCCAGGGTCTCTCCCAGTTCCTTCAGGATCCTAGAATGCATGGCCCCATAGACTTCTGCATATTCTGTCTCATAAGGTCTCAAACTTATTCTGCTCTTACAGTGGGAAGAGATTTCACTCTCTCAAATCCTGCCTAGAGGTTCAGGGGTATGAGCTGTATGGGAAAACTGACTGCCGCTGAAGAAAGAACGACCTGAGTACCTCAGCCTTCTCCATGTTGGTTGAAGCTAGTTCTTCTTTCTCACTACCAGATGGAGTACACTCTCCTGTGCCTTTCCCTTCTTCCTGATGTATCTAAATAAACCCTTCTTATAATTTTCCACATCCCTCGCCAAGTTTGATTCCATATCACCTTGGCTTTCTTCCTTCCATCTCTGCATGTCCGGACAGTCACCTTATATTCTTCCCAGGCAACCCATCCCTGCTTCCTCTGCCTACTATTTTTCCTTCTTATCTCTCAGTTTGATCAGCAGGTCCTTGCTCAGCCATGTCCATTTCCTGTCTATGGCCCACAATTTTTTCATAATCATTCTTAAATATTCATCTTCTCTCAACCGCTGTAATTTAATCCTTCCCATAAAAACAGTCATTTAAAATAGAATAAGCGCAAAGCACAGATCAGAGATACGTTTTCAGAGATGATTCGACATATGAAATGACCAGATATTTGATAAAATATCCTGCTCCCAACTCAATTTTAATCAGAGATCCCTTCAAGGGGAGCTTATCTCACCTAGCAGCTATCATCTGAAAACTGAGTGTAGGCTCTTCCAATGGCAGATGGAGTTTCCATCCCAAATTACTTTCATTTCAGGACAGTTTAAGGTAGTCATCAGCAACAGTCTTTCTCCCTGTGAGCAACAATGATTTGCTGACAGTCAGACTAAATTCTTATTCTTTAGATAGGTAGAATTAAATCAGATAAAGGACTTAGGCTATATTTCTGAAGAGAAAGAGATTCACCTCTGTGTAAAGTTCTACTGGCATCCCTCACTGACTCCTCATGAAATGCATTGCAAACCTGAACTCTTAGTGTACTTGCTTCCATATTCCACCCAGGTACACACCTACAAAACTTATGTCCATCTGCAGAAAAGGATCATGCTACCATTACCTGCAATTCAGTAGAACTGAATTTTTTGCTCCACTGACATCATCAAGCATCATATTGACTTCTTGAAGGAGTAGAATTTCACCTCTACAGAGTACACTTGTAGTCAATGAAAAGTACTCAGAATTCTGCAGCAAAAGAAACCTTATGTTTCAATCTGAGAGATTTTCCAGTGCAGCCAGTTCATAACATTCCATGTGTGATTGTTGCGTTCTCAGAGAGTGGATAACAGATGTCCATATCATCAAATGTACTGTCAGAAAAGGACTTTTAGAGAAACTAATTTCTACCATTTTAATAATCCAAACAGGTATTAGATAATTAATAATTCTGGTACATAAAGTTATATACCCATGTATAACAATCCAGGATCAAGCAGCACAAACGTTTGTTCAGGTAATTTTTGTTTTTCATGTATTAAGTTATCCTGTCATGTATTCTCCCAGATTCATTTTGCAAGGTTATTTAAACACCTAACTGCCTATTTTATTCTACAGCTTAAATTCTCCTGTTGTTTTGTGTATACATGAATGTGTGTTAAGAGTATCTGGAAGTGTTTCTTCCGTGACTTATACACATTAAGTTATAATAGCAAGGCTTCCTCTATTTAGGGAGCTATGAAGAATAATGTGAAAATTAGGCCTGGACTATTTGCTTATTCATTTTATCGCAGAAGTCAGAAAGACATATTGCCTGTGAAATATACTCGGATTTTTTTAAACGAGCATGAAAATGATTCTCCACTACAACCTGAAATGGTGTCCCCTAAAGCTGGTGTCCGCTGATGCCTTCAGCAAGCAGTAGGGGCAGGACATGGACATGGAGGACTCTCTTGCAACATGCTGCCTACAAATCCACGATAAACAGGCAATATTGGAGATGTGAAGAAGTCTGTATTACTACACATTTTTATTCCTACGTCCCTCATGTTTGCCCATTCAAGTTTTGCCATTACATTACCTTCAACTCCCTGGCCCTCGAATCTCTTTAGGACAGGTTATGACTGACTTTGCCTCAGCTGTATCCTTTGTTTCCTTCCACAAAAATCTCAACTTCTTTGTAAAGCTGCTGCCTGATTGCTGAGGAAGGGACAGTATGCTCTAACTGGCTAGCAAGTACCCACTCACCAGCCAGAGTGCTACTCACCTACTCAAACTTCTGAACCATGTGTGCTTCAATTTTCTTCTGCAAGATATTAATAGGATGCAACAGTACTACTGTCTAGGGGAAAGAACCTGTGCCTATTTACACATCCAAGGATTTGTCAAGAAGTATTGTTTTCTCCCAAATCTGCTTTGCTGCAAAATTGGTTGAAATTAGCCAGCTGGTTGGAAAGCCAATGGGAGAAACAAAGGTAAGGGCGGACAAACCAGAAAGACAATCTTGTGACAAAAAAAAAAAAAGAGT